TCCGAAGGTGGGGGGTTTGGGGAGGTGTTTTGTGCGAGCGCCACCTGCGGGCTGGAGGTGCGCACGGCTGGCAGCCCGAGCCTGCTCTTAAAGGGATCAAGTGACTATTGATGAACTTGTGTCACATTCCCAAAGGGACACCAACCGGGAAGGAAGGGGATAAGAGAAGACAATCAGATTTCACCAATGTTACATTTACAGTGTGTTTTGCTAATTTGAGATTAAAAATGTGCAGTTACATGGTTGCACTGTAGCCCAAATGTAAACTGAGGTAGGAACGTAAAGGAAAAAAATAAATTGTCCTATTTCCTTTTTTCTGCTGTAGATAAATGTGGTTGTTGGTTAACCATACTCCCCTCTATTCATTTACTTCACCCTGTGTTTAACTTTTCACATATTTAGGAGGGGCACAGCAGATAAAAGGACACCCACTTGCTCAAGTTGCTTGTCACTAGTGCAATTTCTGATCACATTTTACCGTTTTCTCCAAATTCAAGATGTGTTCATACAGAAAATTAAGCAAAAATTTTTGGTTGAAAAATAAAATGTTGTAGTATGGTTTCAGAAAGGCTTTGATTTCTGTCAAAACTGTGCAAGAATAAAAAAATATTATTTTAGCTGGCAAAAAACCAAAACAAAACAAAAAACAACCCATGTCCTTATTTTAAAAGGAGTGTGCTTTCAGATTTAAATTTCTCCAACCTGGCAGACTGAAAATCACTTCCACTCCCCAGATGCATAAGGAACAGAGGAGAACTTCATGAGTCATGAAATACTTTATTTACTTTTATTAGAGACAACCACCTCAAATAATTATTTTTACAAATTGATCAAGCTCCATCTAAAAATGACTTTTGTTCTTCTTACTTACAACTGAAATAAACTTACGCTGTTTACAAAGTCTTTAAAAAAAAATTCCTTCAATTACTTTATCCCCCTGAAATTGGATTCCCTTCTTCATCACTGTACACCATACTTTTAAACAATTATCCTCTATCAGATTTAGCCTTCCCAGTCTCATCTGATATACAGGCTTACAATTCCCTTCACCATTTTTGTTTCTTCTTTGTACCTGTTCTTTTGAATTTTTCTTCAAATAAATGATCAGCATTGTACAGTAACACAAGTAAAAATTCCTCCACCTTTGTATAACAGTGTTAATACTTCCCAGAAATGCTTTTCTGTATCAGGATAACATTCTTCTTTCTCACAAGTCTAACAGGCAGTTTGCTCAACCATTCCCAAATGGTGACTTCCCAGCTTGTAGTAGAAACATCTGCAACCACCAGGGTTCACAGTCAGAGATATTTACTCGACTGATGTTATTGTAACTAGAAAGAGCTAGATCACTTAAATACCTGTGCTGACCTGGCCTCAAATACGTGCATCTATTCAGGAGTTCTCAAGCAGAGCTGGCTCTCCAGGACCATGTCCAGCTAGCTTCTGAATATCTCCAAACAGAGACTCCACCACCTCTCTGGGCAACCTCTTCCAACCTGTCTCCTATGTTAAGAGAAATCCTCTGCAAGATATTATTGATATTTACAAAGAAAAGTGTACATTTGAGAGCAGTAAAAAAGCAGTGGTAGTTTCATATTTACATTCTCTAAATTAAGCTATAGGTTTACTCTGCTGTTTCACGGACTGAACTGTAAAATTAGGGGATAGCACCAGCCCTTTGCCATTCTCTTTCCTCGCTCAAGAGGGTAACTGCTGTTATCAGTACCACTGAGCATTCACAGGGATGCCCACAGAGTTTCCAGCACCGTGTAACTCTGTAAAAACAAGCAAAGATTTGTCTAGATTCCAATATAAAGTGGAAGAAGCCTCCATGTGTCTTCACCACACCAGGTAACAACTGCTGTTTGGCACAAATGGTCCTTACACATGGTATTTTCGACACACAGTAAAGCTCTTTAATGAAAAAAAATTTACAGTTCAAGATACTGCTATGGTTTTCAGTGTAACTAAGTAGCATTTGCAATGTATCAGCAAGTGGTTAAATTAACAGAGTTCTTTCAGAAGTATGATACTGTCTGTTTTAAGAAACAGAGAGGATGGTAACTACCAGACTGAGAGAAGATAAGGCATTTCATATTACATTAGACATTCACATAAAATTTATGAAGATTAAGGATTCTGAGTATCATAAAATACCTGATTAAGGATGATAACACCATTTCTGTCAGACTACTCAAAGAATTATCAAAATTAGAGGCAAGATGACTGCCTAATAAACCTGTTATATAGACACACGGAGAAAACATTTTCATATGCCAATTATCCTGTGATGACACAAATCTTTTGCTTCTATAATTTAGTGAGATACTCTTTTTTTTTTTTCTCTTGCAAGTACTGCAAGAGAACACGGGAGTAGGGAATGTAACATTCAGCAGACAGGAGGTAGCATGAAGCCTCCAAACACATTGACAATTTTCAAATGAAAAGTTATTAAAATACAATACAATGTGCACTTCCTTCCTTCCCTTTAAACAGTCTGTCAGTTAGACAAGAGGTTTTTTTTTTTTGTTAATTTTTTACAAGAAAATAACAGCACAGAATAACTGTTTAAACTGATGAACATTGGCCATATCGTAACTGACCTCATGGTACCAAAAAGTTACTCAGGCAGTAAAAAGTGCCTCTAAGATCTTTTTTAGCGCAGCCTGTGCTAGAACTGAAGCTCTCAAAACAACCTGGAGCAACCACCACTCGGAGTTTCACTCTCTGGACCAAAACGCTCAATGAATCCCTTACCAGGCATTGTTCTGGAGACAGCAGGGGAATGTAAAGTAATGAACAAATTCCAGACATGCAAACCTCTCCAGAACAGGTACCAGCTTGCAATTCCCAAGCTTATATTCCAACCTTATGTTGCCGCTTATGTTTCTCCAGAAGTTTTTTGGTAGGCAGCGTCACATTACACTTTATGCACTTGTACTCTTTTTTGTGTGTTTTCACATGCTTTTGGAAAGCATGTTTGTCTGCCGTAGAAAATTTACACCTTCTGCAGCGCAACTTTAAATGAGTCAGTAAGTGGCGCTTCAGGTGGCTGGATGTGCGGAAAGCCACAGCACACTGACTGCACTTGAACGGCTTCTCCCCTGTATGAATCCTCAGATGTGGCTTCAAGTTCCCATTGTGGGCTGTGCAATAGCCACACTCTTCACATGTGTATGTTTTGACAGGCAGCTGCTTTTTTTCATAGAGACAGTCTGAAGATGAGCTTTCCCCACAAGAGTGTGAAGCCAGATGCTGTTTAAAGGACAGCCATTTGCTTGTTGAATAGTCACAGTTCCTGCACTTGAGATGCTCCATATTAACATGTGTGATTCTGTGTCTTTTCAGGTGACTGGAAGTACGAAATTTCTTCTGACAAACACTGCAGCTGTAAGGTTTCTCACCTGTGTGAGTTCTTACATGTACCTCAAGGTTGCTTAAAACAGAAGTAGAATACTCACACTCTGCACACTGATAGAATCGTGGCTGACTTGGTGCTAGCAAATCACTTTCTTTGCCTCTCTGGATATCTGGCTGCATTTCACAGACTTCTGAACCAAGCAAGGAACGGAAGCTGTCTGCACCTTCCGAGGAACCAAAGTCTCTTTCTGGACATGTGCCTACATGCATTTCACTACAAAATTCAAGATTCTCTAAACAACTATCTACACGGAGGCAGCGGCCAAACTCGCATCCATTCTTTACATGAAGCCTGTGTCTTTGCAAACAGTTTGATGTTTTAAATGTCTTATTGCATTCTTTACACGCAAATGGTTTTTCATCTGTATGTATTTTCAGGTGCAGCTTAAAGTCACTATGAACAGCAGTAGCGTAATTGCACTGTTCGCACTTGTATGTTTTGAATGCACACAAATTGGGAGGCCACATATCCTGGAAGTTTTCCACAAATTTATGATACACATCATCACCTCGAGCTTGTGAATGAGATGCCTTAGAGTTGAGGAGAGGTTTCCCTTTGCAACTACCAGTGTCCATCTTGTATGAATTCAGAGGAACTTCTGATCTATTCCCAATAATAGATAAGCTGTTGCTTCCATGGCTGTTCTCAGATAATTTCTTTCCAGATGGCGTTTTGTTCTGGACATTACCTGCCCACTCAAAGTCTACTTCTGAAGCCTGCATTCCCCCACTGAGACAATCACTTTTTTTACCAGAAAGAGACAGAGAACCATGGTTCTGGGGATCACTGTCAACTCTGCCTATTTTGCTTTCATGATATTCATTGCTCTGAGTTGTAAAACCATTAGCAGAAGCCTTCATCTGTTCATGAAATTTCTTATGAAAGCCAAAATGTTTTCTAGTGTAAAATATTATGTCACACTCATCACACGTATAACTCTTTAAAGGTCTTTGGGTTCTCTTTCTTTCACTTAAAAAGTCGCGTTGCTGCCCTTGGCATGTTTCGTTACCTGCATGTAATCTTCTGTGTCTCTTCAACGCACTGGTGCTTGTGAATGCTGACTGGCAGAATTCACAGGAATACGGTCTAGCCCCTGTGTGTACGTAGCTATGTCTTACCATGCTTCCAAAATATAACGAAAAAAAGGGGCAAAACCTGCACTGGTACAGCTTATACCCAGCATGCCAGTACATGTGATTTAACAGATAGGGTAAACTAGGGCAGGAGGAATCACACTGAGGACACTGGTAAGGTGGTCTCTCTTTGTGTCCCTTCACATGACGAATAAAAGTCCGAGGATTTGATGAAGCAAAGAAACAGATTTTGCAGGAAAAACTAACTGGCACACCCAGAGGTGTAAACTCCCTTTCAACTTGGACAAAAAATTTCTCATACTTACTTTCTTTTTTCTTGGGCTCAGGTTTTCTTTCTTCAGATTTCTGCCCAACTTTTCTCACATTCATTCTATTTTTTCTTGCCCTTTGCAACCTCATCACGTTCTTGTGAAATTTAAGGTGATTCTTAAGGTTGACAGAAAACAAAAAGGTTCTTTTACAAAAGCAGCATTTATGTATTTTCTTATCTTTATGAGCTGAATAAAGATGTTTCCTTAGAAGTGCACTGCATTTATACACAGAACTACAAAACCTGCACTTCAAATTAAATCTTTCATGCTTATTTATAGAACAAGATGCTTTAGAAAGAGGTGTGATGGTCACACTATTACTTAGCCCTGCTAAACCCTCCTGCTGGCTTTGGTATTCTTTTGGACTTGCATGAGGAGAAACAACTTTTTGTTGCCAATATCTTGTTTTAGAAAATGGCGTTAACGTCTTATAAATGTGCTCTCCAGTAGTATTTGATTCAGCAGAAGTGGAAGTGTTCATCTCCAGTTTCCCTATATCTTCTACCAATTCTTTTGAAGGAGGAGAACATCCAACAAGAAGCGTAGCAGAACAATTATAGGTAAATCTCCGTTCTTCTTTCAAGCCGTGTTCCAAAAGAGAACTCAGAGTTTCATCTTTAAAGTTGCTCCTCTTTCTTTTTCTGTTATTAGCTTCATTATCTCCATTCTTTGAAGAATCAAGATCTACAGGGGGATAAAAAGCCACATGCATGACATTTCATACAATCACCAGTGTTCATGACTAATTGGTAAAAATAATCCCAAATTGTCTAATGACTTGCTTTTCACTCCTTTTGCTTCCTTAATATTTTCCTGTCTCTGCTTCTTTCCCAATGTCTCTCTCCATGCCTCCCCCACTCCCAATATTGAAATAATGTTTTACGAGAAGAAATCCTACTTAGGAGCCTCCTTCTTTCCAATTCCTCTTTCCACTCAAAGCCCTGAATTTCATAGGACAATACTGTGAAGTTATATATACCCTATAGTTTTTGATGAAACAGCTTTATGACAGAATTCCTATGAAACCAAGTATGATGCTCCTTCTGCTGTCTTTTATCTGTCAGAAGGGAAAATACTCTTAGTACTTCTCTATGCCTTTCTTCCTGAAGGACTTACATCTGCTACAAGGAACGGTGGAGTGTAAACCTAACGCCTCTCCCAGTTTCTGCTTATACTGATGAGAGTTACTGCCTGTTGGTTTTCACTCCTTAGTATCTCTAATTGTGATTAAAAAACCTTTAATTTCAGTTTTATTGTTTTCAGGTCTTTTTCCCTAATGAAAGGGAAAAAGTTTTGCAAACTGCAGCAGAATGAAACAGTACCAACTGACTGTAGTTTCACTATTTTTCACAGGAGTCTGTGAAAGGAGTAGGCATACTCCACCCAATATTCTTTTTCTCGTGCACTACATTAATCTATGTTGAAATGTTTACTGTAAAACAAACAGGTTTGGTACTCTTCCTACACACTTTCCTACCCATTTAAAAAAACTTGAGATTTACCAGTTTTCTTAAAATTCTTGTACTAGTCTTATTAACAACTTACCTTCCATTTCAACAATTGTCTCCATCTCCTTGTGGATTTCTGCTTGCTTTTCTTGACTGTCATCAGAAAGAACACCTGCAGCATTGACAAGCTGCTCTTCGTGACTGGATATCACTGCCAACGTCACCTGTCTGGTTGTCTCGATGGTCTCATCTCTCCCCTCATTACCAGCAGAGAAGAGGAGAGAAGGAACCTTCTGAAAGCCACCATCACTGTCACATTCTCTTCTGTCAGCGGTTTCGTTTATCTCTGCAGGCTCTGTTTTGCAAGACGACATAGGCAGCACATAATTTTGACTAGATTCATCCGTGCCTGCACCACACCAACCACTTGGAGATGATTTTGATCTGTCACACACCTTCTCGGCAAACCATTTTCCTTCAGAGTAGTTCACGCTATTATCCTTATTTGAAGCGGCCTTCTTTTCCTCACAAACGCTTAAACTGTAGCTGCCATTTGAAGGTGTCACATCGCTTCTCAGAACACTCTCCTGCTCATCTTCCTCCCTCACCTCAAAATCCAGCACCTCTTGCTCCTCAGCGTCATGTGCGACAAAATCCTCATCGCTCAGCACAACGACAGTGATGGGAAGAACGATTTCAAAGACATCCGACTCTGAGAACAGCGAAAAGCGGCATGAACACAACCCCCGCAACACCTGAGCCCACCGCGGGCTCCCGACCCCCGCGGCCCGGCCACTGCGCATGCGCGGC